GCTATTTCAGCTATTTCAAAGCTATTTCAGCTATTTCAAAGCTATTTCAGCTATTTCAAAACTATTTCACCTATTTCACTGCTATTTCAAAGCTATTTCAACAAATTTGTACACCTATTTCAGTAGTTATTTCCCCCTCGGGTAGGCGCGCCCGCCGCGCTCGCCGCCAGGGCGGCTGGCCTACCCCGCTGCTGTTAGGCGCTCGCCCCACGACCGACTAGCTGGAGCTTATGTCGTTAGCCGCTAACGGTTAGCGACTAGGGGAGTAAAGGAAGTTGGGGAGTAGGGGAGTGCGAGCTACTCCCCACGAGTGTGAGTGGCAGTCTTTTAATAAGTATATATGCACATTTATATGCACCCTTCTTTGTAAATTTGCTGTTTTCGTTATCGAACGCTGTTTGAGAGCGCGAAAATGAATGTGATCCGCAACAGCAGACTGCCACTCGCCATCCGAAGGGGAGGAGCTCCACTCCTCTACTCCCCAACTCCCTTTACTCCCCTAGTCGGTAACCCCATATACCCTGACTCCGACACAGCTGTACGGGTTGGTTGCCACGCACTGGCGTGCAGGCGCGGAAGGCGAGGGGGAAGCGGTGGAGGTGGCGGAAGCGGCCAGGCCGGAGGCTGGAAACGTAAATAAACAGGGCCTTCTGCTCAATACCGGCAATTCCCACACAAATTCATTATAGGATTCAGAATCAGGAATCAGAATTCTAGGCGGTGGACAACCGTGTTCGTGTTTTGATATTAATCGCATTTGATGGTGGCTTCCTGAACATTAATCGTTCTGTTCCGATTATTGTAAGAGGTTAGGTGCTCCAGCAGTAGCTTTATTTATACACTGATTAGTTCTAATATATTTTTGGAAGGCAAAGTAAATATTTAAACTTGGCTCACTGTAAGCTTTGTTGAAAAGGTGTTGAATGGGTACGCCCGCCGCCCCTCCCTTCCATGCACTGTGTTAAATATTGTTGTAGGTAATTTGCAAATGGGTGAACAAACTTATTACACATTTTAGATATTGGACATACACTGCAGTCATGTTGCAGTTTTGCCGGTTTTGCTACCTGGGTATGATACATTTTACGCTGTATTATTCCTTGTGGAACAGCAAAATGTATTAGGTTAGGTTGGGGTGTAGGCTTTGATAGTCAACTGAGGGTTTTAGCGCTATTTGTGTAATTATCTAAACGATCAAACAATCAAAGTGCGTTGCAGCTAATTTGCAGCTGCTCTATCCACTACTGTCCTAATAATTACTGTGAAAAAGGTATCTGGGAGATGTGCATAGCCTACAGTATGCGCAGAGGGATATATATGTTACGTACACTTAATACTTGAGTCCAGTGCCAAATTAGTTATTTGAAAGACCATGGTCATTTAGAGTATGGGGGGAGAGGCATTTAAAAGTGTATTGTAATATTAATATGCTTATTATTTATTTATTTTTATTCGTAATTTAGCTTTGACAGAGAGCATTACTAGTTGATATACATGATAGAATGTACTATTTGAAGTTTGTAAAATCATTGTTTAAAAACTCTTCTATTGAGTGGGCTCCATTGCTAGTAAGCACCTCTTCAGCACAGCTTTAAATCTTTTTTCATTTTTGATGTTCTTGATTTCCTGAGGGAGGTGGTTGAATAGCCCACTCCCAATATGATTTGGATTAATTTTTTTCATATTCATGACGGTATTTCTTTTTGTGGAAGTCTTTCTTCCCTCAGAAAGAAAGACTGTGGTGAATTCTGTTACCATAGTATGAGTAAAATTATATGTAATGAATGGTTGATAATTGTCGAGTAACAATTGAAAGCAAACATAGCACTAAAAGAACCATTTAATATGATTGCAGGAACACGGCCCGGAAATGTTCTTGACATGAGCAAAGAAGTCCATGGAGACATTTTACCTGAAAGTATAGGTGAGTTGACATGACAGTACCAGCACTGGTCCGATTTGTCTCTGTTCAGACTCTATGAGAAGCTCTCATTGGTGTGCATCAAAGGGCGGTTTTTGATGGTTTTTGTGGTGCCTTGGTTCTTCCCTGACGATAACAATCCTCCCCCGTCAAAATCAAGGCTGATTTGTTAAACATGTCTTTAAAAAACTGGGCAATTTGAAAAACTGCTGGAATTGGGTTGGATAGATCGGCAGACCCCCCTTTCTCTTGCTCTGTCTAAATATTCCCATCAGTTTTTGCTAAAAACACATAACCTTTGTAAATTTTGCCAAAAATGAAAAAATTGAAAATCGCTGGAAATGATTGGATTTGGTCCGACAGCATCCTCTTCAATCTCTCCGTCGAAATTTAACGCCGCCGGGCCATTTTAAGTAAGTTAGGCCTGTGTTTCTTGGACCGGTTCGCCTGCTAGGTAGGCAGCCCCTTTTACGCTGCCGGCAGATTCAAAAGTCACCCCCTTAAAATTCAAGTTTTTGTGGACAGGGGTTGTTTCTGACGAAACCAAAAGTAGTTTAGTGGTTCCCTGGCTCACCCCTGTCGATTCGAATACTTTTCCGTCGAAATCTGGATCCAAATTTACACAAAATTTTGCCAAAAATTTAAAACAAATGAAAACCACTGGGAATGGATTGGTCCGATAGCATCCTCTTTCAATCTCTCCGTCAAAATTTCACGCCGCCGGTCCATTTCAAATGAGTAGTGCCTGCTTTTCTTGGACCCATCGCACGCTGCGCTCCAGATTCAGAAGACGACCTCTTCGTAAAAGTTAAAACCGAAGTTTCTGTGGACAGGGGTGGTTTCTGACGGAACCAAAGTTAGTTTTGTGGTCCGCTGGTTCACCCCTGTCGATTCGACTACTTTTCCGTCGAAATCCGGACCCATCGATTTTCGCTAAAAACACAAAGGCTATAGCCTTTGTAAATTTGGC